GGCGAGCGGTTTTCTGATGTCAATGTTGTGAACAGAGTGCCCCATGGTGGCGGTGGGGTTATGGTATAGGCAGGTATAAGCTAAGGACAACGAACACAATTGCATTTGATCGATGGAAGTTTGAATGCATACTGTGACGAGATCCTGAGGCCAATTGTCGTGCCATTCATCCGCCTCCATCACCTCATGTTTTAGCATGATAATGCACTGCCCCATGTCACAAGGATCTGTACACAAAAAAAATGTCCCAGATCTTCCATGGCCTGCATAATCACCAGACATATAACCCATTGAGCATGTTTGGGATGCTCTGAATCGATGTGTACCAGTTCTCTGCAATATCCAGCAACTTTGTGCAGCCATTGAAGAGGAGAGGGACAACGTTCCACAGGCCACAATCAACAGCCGGATCAACTCTATGCGAAGGAGATGTGTCGCGCTGCATGAGGCAAATGGGGGTCACACCAGATACTGATTGGTTTTCTGATCCACATCCCTACTTTTTTTTTAAAGGTATCTGTGACCAACCGATGCATATCTGTATTCCCAGTCATATGAAATCCATAGATTAGGGCCTAAGGAATCTATTTCAATCGACTGATATCCTAATATTAACTGTAACTCAGTAAAATCTTTGTAATTGTTGCATGTTACGTTTATATTTTTGTTCAGTATATTATAATTGATATCTTTTCACCCCTACCCTTGTCTGTGGTGGTCTGTAAATCCACAACCTTCTGGCTACTTTGCCATGTAATGCTTAAAAAAGGAATAACAGTTTCTAAAACTGCATATCTAAGGCTCTGGTCTGTCCAAGGAGTAAGAGTAAACGGTAGGTTCTCTGCAATCCACTTTTTTATTACTATTTTGGGTATAGGGGAGGGTCACTTTTTTTTTCTAGCATTCAGGGAGGGTCAGGTAAAATATATATTTTGCTGAAGGTAGAGCCATCCATTTTTCATTTCAGAGAGAGATGAATTTCTCCAGGTATCCCTTATTATAAAGTTCAGTCCCTAACGGAAGATAGTTGCTCAGCTAAACTCCATATTTGGTGATCAACTAACGGATTTTGTTATAACGCTTGCAGTTCTGGTGAATGAGATTTTGACTGTGCTTTCTGGGCATTAGAGAGGTCTCTAACGTACAGATGATACTGGTTCAGTCTGCGATCTACTCTGTGGAGGAGTTGAGGTACTTGTACATTTCGGTCCCAGTCTCGCTCTGTCTTTCTATCTTTATTTGTTTCCCTCTCTCTCCAAGTCTCGGTCCCACTCATCTGTTCATTAAAAAGACAATCAAATCAGACAATCAAAAAGACGTCCATAACTTTGGGATCATGATCCCAAACAAGCTGATCAACCACGCACAGTACTCTCCTCCAGTTCCTTTGATTTCTACTGACCTCTTCTGGTTTACACCTAGTAGTGCAGCTTGGAACACCCAAAAAATACCATTCCAAACAAAAGGAGGCTGTGGAGTTGACTTTTGAATTTTATTTAGCGTTAATACAATATACAAAACAAACTACTCAACATGCAACTTGAAGGAGAGACGAGAGCTTCTGTACAGTAAAATGAAATTCAGGACACCAGCCGATCAGTCGTCAAACTTTACAAAATATACAAACATCCCTTAAAGTCTGCTCTCTTTCTTAAATAACTTCAATTTATTCCATTGTCAGAAAGTAGCAACACCAATTTCATATTAATTCTCAGTGTTTTCTACTACATACTTGTGTCATTGATTAAAAAGTACAAGTTAAAGCCACAGTCCATCTCAAAATACGCACAGTTCACATCGCTTAATTCCACCTACTGACTTTCTCACATTTCGCAGGTGATGCATTTTTTCATTGTTTTCATGCCAAAAAATGATTAACAGGAACATTCAGGTGCCATTCGTTCAGATTTTCTAAAGAGGAAGAACAACCTAAAGTAGCTCAGCACACATTATCTCACACGCAGGCGCGCACACGTTCACAGGCATATACTCAAGACACTAACAAACCACAGAGAGTTGAATGAATTTTCACTTTAACTGACACACACGCCACACCAATGATATTACAGCCCACATACCCTTCTCTAACGACCCCAACCCTTCTTCATGTCACACTGAAAGGGTGAAAGTCACAGGCAGGTTCACAGTTAACACTCAAAACAAGAACGTTAGAGTTTATGCAGGACTTTCTCTCCAACATGATAATGAATAAAATGCAACTAAGAGAAAGACACACAGAACAAACAGATAAATAAACAAGCCACTCTCGGGATCAGAAGGCGCAAATCAAACACTGGGGGAAAATCGCTCCTTTCACTCAATCATACAATTAATATAATAATATAACTAATATACTCAGGCTATCAGCGTCTACACATCCATACAGCATAGACCAATGATATTACTGGGAGATTTCTCCTGTTCTGGAGTGTTTGGAGAAACAGGGATTACTGGACCGGTTCAGTTTAATGCACAGCATTAACTTCAAAGAGACAGAATCCTCCTTTTTGATCAGTTGACTCACAAACCGGAGTGTAACCATAGACATCTATAATACACAGAGGCCTAGACCAGAGCAGTGTCCAGTAGATCAGCAAGCTTTGTCATGCATGTAAAGAGTACTGTATATGTTGATATTATCCTGAGGAGTGCTAACTGTAACTGAGGTACTGTATACCTCCACTAGAAAACCAAGGCTGGAGACTAGCTAGCGCTCGCTCACTGGAGTCAGTTGTTAGCATATAGCTTAGCTAGCATACATGTGCAGGTCTGAAAGCATAGGGCTTTTGGGTGTGCGGGTGGATATGTATACAGATGTCCGTGTGTGAAGGAGTGTCTACATGAAATGCAACTTTGCCACTAAAGGACGGTACAAGGATAGAGGCTATGACATTTAGGTCGCTGTCATCTGGTTCTTTGTTTATATTATAAGGTATTTTGATAATAAAATATGTTAAAGGCAATACTTCAAGCTACTACGACATGGCTGTGAGACAGAGAACATGAAGACCCAGAACGAAAAATCTAACCAAGACAGCAGATAGAAACCTGATTTCTGAGACACTTTCTTGTTTAGACATCTGATGGGTTTACACTCACTTCTTGAGATTAATCAGTCTAGATGTGATCATTCCGAGGTGACGTCGTAGAATGCACAGCATTCATCAACACTACCAGGTCTCACCACCAGAGGGCAGACTAACTGACCACCGACTGGTGGCCATCCCTGCCTGACCGGCTCAGGGTTCAAAATAAGTAAAGAAGTGTTTTGAGTTCATTAAGTGTTAAAACATTTCTAACAGTACTTGGTTAAATCCAGTTAATAAATGAGTAGAGTAAGTTTATGGATAGCTACAGCCATTAGTGTATTGGTGAAGTGAATTGACTTGCATCAGAGGGAGTGACAGAATCTGCATCTGGAATGCACACAACGAATAGGCCTCGGCATTAACATATATAGAGACACTAATATTCATATATGCACACACACACAGCTGCACACCCACACTTCAAGGAAAGTTTGCAAACACTTGTATAGTGACATGACTAAGGGGGTGTGGGGTCAGACAGACACAGGACAGGAGTGCATTAATAAAGCCACTAGGGTGGAGAGAGGCGGGGATTGGTGGATGAGACGGAGAGGGATAAGACGGTGATGTCTACAGGATGTACATCTGCACTGGGAGCTGAACGGAACTGAATGAAACGACTTAAACACAAGCCTCTCATATCTACTTCCTGCTTTCATCTACTATGACATCATTGGTCTCATTCTTCTAGGTCTCATCCATAGAGAATGATAGAGGACTCTATTGGCCAAAAGGCCGTTTTAGCATGGGCAGCGACATTGAGTGCTTCCGCCATTTTAACCCATAAGAATCTAAGCCCTGTCTAAGCCGGGGGAGAGGGGGTTCTACTAAGCTTTATGGAATTGTTTTAAGAAGGTCATACCAAGAATCATTTTACTATTTGATTTTGAATTTTAAGACCCCTTGAAGTATAAAAAAATTTAAAATAATATTTGGCCTTAGTGCCCTTAGCCCATACAAACGCATTGAATAAAATATTCACTACATGGAACAACAGATAGTCCCCCCCAAAAAAATCTAAAGGAAGTTTGTTCTGAAGTGTCCATCCTATATCTGACAGATATTAGAAAGATCTGGAAACATGTTTATTAATTTTTTATTACATGCATTTCACCCCTTATTTTTGGCACTAAACAGTGTCCATATATACTTCCATAAATTTTTTCAACTGGTACCGGGGGACTTTCAGACGAGTCTTGTGAGCGTCCTAGAGCAAAACAACCAATATGTACGTGTTCATTAGTCTTGCTTTTCCACAGAGGGGTATTAGTGTGTAGCTCAAACTGTTCGGACGTTACAGACAGAAGTTGGCAGATCGGATATACCGACTTCAGACGAGTCCCAAGATGCTTGTGGGGGTCATACAGCTAAACGGAGAACACCATTGTGTTTGTGAGCGTCTAATCATTCCATAGATAGTTTGCAAGCCAAACCGTTCGGACGGTACAGACGATTTTTGTCTCATGGTCTGACAAACACCACTCTAGCTCTGTCACCTTTCACCTCAGATGAGGAAGTGTGGCATAGGCGCATGCGGTGGATTGAGACGCATCCAATGCAAACAAAAACATATCTCTAGCTTAAACTGACAGATTTTTATTGGGATTGTTTTATTATGCTTATTATGCTAATGCTAATTTGATTTCCGTGGAGACGCAGACATCGACCATAGGGAGTTCAAGAAATCAAAGTAGTCAACTGGGTAAGGATTCTTATGGGTTGTAGCCTCAATTGCACTGCCCATGCTGTCACAGACGCTATAATGGCACAAATATAAAGATGAGTCCTCTATCTCTATGGTCTCATCCTAGTCATGCGAGTAGAGCTAGGTTAGGAGGGCAGGGAAGCTTGAGCTCGCTCGGGGGCTTGGATTGGACAGAGAGAAGAAATAGGGCGGGCTCTAGGGGCCAATCAGATCTGTTGCTTGAAGGCTCCGCTGGCGGCGTTGGAGGCTGCGGTAGCGGCGGCAGTCTGGACCGTCTTGTTGGCCATGACGCCCGTGGCGAACTCTGCCTGAGCCTTCTCAAAGCTGGCCCCCGTGGTACGGTACATGCCATGGACCTGAAGGGATGAGAGGGGGAGGAGGGGAGAGGGAGGGATAGAGGAGAAAAGGGGCGGAGAAGAGGAGGGGAGGGGGGAGAGGGAGGAGGGGAGGTAATTATTTAAATGATGTCTATAAATACCCCAAGTGTTCATCATCTCAAAGAATGTGTGGATGTTATGATTCCTTTGAATCTAATCTTCTCAAACATGGTGAAAGGCTGAGGCTCATTCACAGCTTCATGATTATGATGAGGGATTGTGTGTAGGGTACCTTTTTGAACATGATGAGGGACATGGCAGCCAGGGCGGTGAAGAGAGCAGCGATGAGGATCATGATGATGCCAACAGGGATGCTCTTATTCAGACCAGTCAGAGCTGAGATCCACCCACTGTAGGAGATAGAGAAGGACAACCAGAGAGAGGATATTAGGTACTGAATCTCTATCCATATCAAGGTGAATAACATCTATTCCGAGTGATGTCAAAGAACCGTGTGTCCATGTCACTTCCTGTTAATGTCTGTGACAGTGACTGTCCTCACCTGGCGCCCCAGCCGGAGATGCCGATGGACTGCATCACGTGGACACCAAACTGACAGATGTAGACGAAGAAGAAGACGAAGAAACGGAACGAGCTGTCACTCCTGGAGAGAGAGAAAGAGATTGCTGTTTAATGAACGGCCTCTGTGAGTGTGTATGTCTGTGTGACTCCGTTTGTGTGCTTGTTTGTACACCCACCTGAAAGCTCCATAGAGGGGTCTGTACCAGCAGACGAAGGAGCAGGGGGTGAAGATCATGAACCAGAGCATGGCCAGACCAAAGTCCACTCCCCTGGACGCATCCACACAGAACCAGGCCAGACAGCCAAACATGTTGGCAAACAGCGTCCCTGTGTGGACTTGAGGGGAATGACAAACAATACCACTGATTAGTTTAAATAAAAATGTTGTATATAGAAATGTAACATATAGAGCAGACAGAAATGGCAGTTGTGTAGAATAGAGATGTGTATCAGCTCTTTAAGTTACATTTCTATGTGAAAGAGAGAGTACTTGATATAGGTCCTATGCCGCATCACATTACATTTCTATCTGAAAGATCCTTTTTGATAGAGGCCCTAATAGGCTACTTCAGTGTCCTGCCAAGTCATGCTAATGAAGAACAGGATGTTAGGAATAGGAGGAGGACAAGGAAAGATGGCTGCTTAATAATTTAACACACTAAGGAGCCTGGTGGTGCGCACACACGGTCAATTAAATAATTCACAATGAGCAGAACTCTACCTTGGGGCTACAATAATGGCATGGCTCTGGGCATTGTATAGAGTCTGGTGTGTTGTAGTGTACAGTCACATTGGCATGGTATAGTCATATAGCTACAGTGGCAGGATTCTGCACCATACTGAGGAATCTAACACTACTCTCACACTCTGGGTGAGAGAGAGAATACATAACGTGTAGGTAGAGGAGAGAGAGAGAGAGAGAGAGCGAGAGAGAGAGATAAGAGAGGGAGTGAGGGCGAGGAAGAGGGTAGCGCGAGGAAGAGTGAGAGATAAGAGAGGGAGGGTAGGGCCTCAAGACAGGTTGGAACTCCCAATGTCTCCCCCCCAGTCACCTGACCCGGTCACATAACCAACCACATGACCTACCCATGTGGCGGTGGAATTCCACGCTGTGCTATTGGCTCATATCTAATAAATGTCCTTCATAATCCCTCTCAATGGCCTTTTCATATTTAACAGACTGGCTGTCAAGTAAAGAAAGAGACTTCTGGAGATCAGATTTCTTCGAAGCTAGCGACAAAACTGAGGCAAAGGTTCAGTCATATTGAAAGAACAATTCTAAAGTGTACATTTGCCATAGTAGTGTCTGTTTTCTGACGTTACAAGCACTGAGGGGGGCAGATGACTTGACAAGAGGGCAGAGGTAACTCACACATCCAGATGTAGTACATGATCTTGACAGTCTTCTGGAACTCTACAGGGATATCCACTGTGATGTCATGGTAGAAACATGGGCCCACGGGGAACTTCTCTGGGAGAGGAGGCCAGTTGTTTTTCCTACCTGGGACAGAGAGAAGAGAGCAATGCTTGAATGATTCTGCAAAATGTTGTGTGAAGGTTTGGGTCTGACAAAGTGTAACGTAGTTCGAATGCAAGACCATTGGTTGAATGTTGTGTGAAGGTTGGTGCCAACCTCCTGATGTGCTGAGCGACTGCATCTCTCTCTCCCGGCGGTCTAGCTCCGCTGCCTTCCTCTCCAGCTCCTCCTGTCTCCTCAGCAGCTCTGTAGCCGCCCACGCCTGCTCCTACACACACACACACACACACACACACACACACATCAAACAGTGCGCACTAACACTATACTAAACACACAAAAGAGATATACAGTACAGAGATGTTCTAGATGTTATCCAGACTAGATCAGGCTCCATATGGCTGACAAGTCTGATTTGACCTCTGACAAACCGTGAACTTCAAGTCAACTTGAAACTGACATTGAGGCAGCTGACTTTTTGTTTTAGTAATGTGTGTGTGTGTGTGTGTGTGTGTGTGTGCATGTGTTTGGCAGACTACTGTCAGCACACAGCACAGTCCCAGAAGTCATCTCCACCTCCTTTCTCTCCATGCGAGTCAGAATAATTAACGTTCTGGTTTTAATTTGACTAAATGCTAATCGCTAGGCAGGCATTGCTGGTTGTGTGTGTGTATGTGTGTGTGTGTGTGCGCGCGCCCAATCTCTAGCATGCAACAGCTGCAGGTGAAGCAATGGTTGCATTTGACGTCACTAGCTATTGCTACTAGGCACTAGCCAAACTACTGACAAAATGCTGCCCAATGCATCTTTAAAGGTAGGAAGATATTTCAACAGGACAAGGGACAGGATACTAGTCACATGCCTTATTGCCAACTTCCTGGTTGCAGCCTAGGTTGTAGATGACAAAGGTCAAGACAACGGGATTCTAATATCCCATAACTCTTTGCAACAATGGGACTATGCTAGTTCGCAATGGTGCTGGTAGTTAGTAACGGCACCAGTAGTTAGCAACGGCGCTGGTCCCAGATTCGTGACGACGTTGTCTTAAGCTGTACATCTGATCTAGGTTGCAGCATTCTGATATCATCTCTGTGTGTGTATGCCCAAACATTTAAAAAAACAGGTAAATGTGTCAGTAGAGGTAGAAAAAAAAGGTAGTAGAATAAGGAATATTGTTCCTGTCTTATCTGTCTGCTGGTGTCTCTCTCTCACTCTCTTTTCAGGTGCAAACACAAAGTCACACTTCTCCCTTAGACAGCGAGGTGTGGAGCCCACATTGATGTTTATGTAGTGTCTCTGAGGCTTAGAAGCATCTCCACACTCTGTCACAAACAGCTTTTAATTAGAACACGCCACGCTCTGTGGGAGAGCCTGCTGCCAAACCCACCAGAGCACGGTGTGTGCGCATGTGTAATGTGTGTGTGTGTGTGAGTGGGGGGGTGGGGGGCATGCATGGTGTTTCTATGGAAATGCAACGCTACATTGAGCCCTCTTTTCTTCAGAGGGGTGGAATAGCATGGCGTAAAAGGGTAGAACAGGATGTGAGGTGTGTGTGTGGGGGGTACCTGTGTCTGTTGAGGCTGTGAGTATGCAGGCGGTTCTTCAGTAGGCTTCATGATGGCTGGTTGTGTGTTGGTGGTGGTGGGGGCCGGTACCTTCGGCGCTGTGCCAGCGTGGACCTGGGAGAAAATAGCTACATCTTTTAACAATCCCACACTGGTTATGGCTCAAACCATACCCTATTCCTCATGTAGTGCACTACTTTTGACAAGAAACATATGTAGCTTGGGTCAAAACAACGTAGTGTACTAAAGGGAGAATAAGGTGTCAATTGTGAAGCAGACACCTTCTGGAATCAGCATCTTCAACCATTCTTCATGAACAGAAGCTGAATGTAATAACATAATGAACACTTATAATCTGGAGCTACGTCCTTCTGTTTTTATCTCATCAATGGCGTCGGTGTCTCCCATCTACCCGCCACCTCTCCTCAACACATGGCCTCTCACACTGTGCAGTGCGCTTGCAGGGCAGCCTTCGAAGTGACTTATCAACTGTATGCAAGAATTTCCTCTGTGTTGTCTTAGGAATTCATCATTCTCTGTGTTGATCTTGCCTACCTCCATTGTCTCACTTCTGAGAAGCTGAGGTTACATCCTGTAGGTCTGCTATCTGATTGGAGGTTAACTTTACAGTAATTCTATTGGTCAACAACTCAGATTTTGAATCCAAACAACTCAGATGCTTACAAAAAGAGATTTATATGATGTGTTCCTCTTGCTGTGGTGAGATCCCTACACTCTCTCTTCCATGAGCTATGGGCAATGGCACAAGCCATGGTTTCTTCGTCTCTCCCTTTCTCTCTCTGATCATGCTTAGAATAATGCCTTGTAATGCTTTGCAACTTAAGCTTCATGCCTTGTATTTATGCTGTGAATTTTTTACAAAATAATTAAATACACTTTATTTAGAATTCTAGTATCAGACATTTCTTGATTGCCTATTACTGTAAATCAACTATAGTGTACTTGCATATTGCTAAATCATCTTTATAATAATAATAATAATAATAATAATATGCCATTTAGCAGACGCTTTTATCCAAAGCGACTTACAGTCATGCGTGCATACATTTTTGTGTATGGGTGGTCCCGGGGATCGAACCCACTACCTTGGCGTTACAAGCGCCGTGCTCTACCAGCTGAGCTACAGAGGACCACATGGAGACAGATAAACATTTGAATCGGCTAATTACTTAGTGTTATTACGAGTCGCATGTGAGGTTTTAGAATATCATATATACTGTATATGCACATTTCAAATACTACTACACTACACTTTACTCACCGGCTTGGCATCTGTGAAGGGGTTGTACTCTTCCAACCCTGGAGGAGCATTCTGTGTTACTTGTGTCACCGACGGATCCTGAGAGGATAGGAAAAGACAGAAACTCAGTCTTCATACATATGGCACACAGTTCTACAGTACAGTATGAGGAGCATTGAGGGAGTCAGTCAATAGGCTATACTCCCATGTAGTAACCTAAGCCTAACTAATAGGCACTCAAATTGACTAGCCTATATGCTGCATTGTCGTGGTGTGATGAATGAACTCTGAAGCCACTCCAGTCCAGTGTGACCTAAAACAGATCTGTAGTGAATGCTAGCCTACATGCATATACCAAGTTCTTGCAACCCATTCTGACGTCTGCTTACGAATCAAGTGCAACAAAACTCAAGGGTAGCACCACCGCTAGCCTCATCTGCCTAACCTGGCCTCAGAGGTTTTCAAAAGTCAATATGAAGTCAGACAAACAGACAAGCACTTTTCATCTGAAGAAGAGAATTCCTCCACAGACAGAAAGACCCTAACAGCAGGGTACCCTGCACTGTCAACCCTTCACTGTCTATAATCTAGGGCCTTATAAAATATTTATTTTTTTGCCTAATTCAGTTTCTCCCCCCAAATTTTTTTTGCTCTCGAAAACAACTTTTGTAATATAACAGATGTTTTTGTTTTTCTAATTACAATGTTTAAACCAAGTTTAAGATCTGGATTTTTTTTTTAGGTTGTAGTTCAACTGTGCACCACCAAGAGACTTGTTTGGTTAGCGGTGTTTCTGTAGCACACATGTAATTGCAGTTTGCTAAACAAATCGCCACTGGATTGATGCAAATAATCATAATATCAGGTAGGCATACTTTGTAGTTAACATTTAATTGAGAAGGTTTTAGGAAAAGCTTTTCCATCTACCAGAAGATGTATCATTATTAGCAACATCGCTAACGGCTACACTGTGGTAGACAAACACGCACACAGACAGCGGCTTTCCTGCGTTAGAAAGTTGAAGGAAAATATGAATCACTGATGCATTTTGTTCATATTTTATGATAATCTTGGGCATATTAATACATTTTCTAATAAGTTCAATACATTTAGTTGATTTCCTACTAAGTGCAATACATTCTTGAATATTGTTGAAATGCGTTTCAATGTCTGGATCCCGTGATTCCATCCGTGATTTTATAGGGCCCTAATACTCCCAAACTGGCAAAGACGAGATGATTCCAATCATTTTCACCACCACACAGACAGCTATAAATAGCGCAGAGCCCACGAGTTTAAGGAGGGAAGAGAACACTTTTCTCTGCTAAGACAAAGGACTCTGTGTGCTGCCGTTACTGGCATGCTGTGCAGACTCAGATACACAGTCTAGGCTAATTGTTTTCTTTCATCAACCTTTATTCAGGCTACGCAGATTCTAGGTTGGTATCAGTGAGTTCAAATCTCAGTTTCATAGGCCATTTTCCAATCTCCATGTGAATCCGGGAGGCTATTTGCCAAGTGATGAAAGTATAGGCCTATAGGTGCACCTCCCAGGACTGATGCATTGTTTAACTAGTGTGTGTCCACTGTGTCTACAGGTGTGTGCTGCAGTCATCTCTAAAACAGAGAATAAGGTGTGGCTTGCCGTGGTGTAGCCCGTCATCGCTGTCTGCGTGCACATGGATGTGAGTGTAGGGTGCATTTCAGGTAGCTAGCTCACCATGACAAGTTTTCACTCATGCAGCATAAATTCAGATGGTACTTCGGTTCAGTGCAGTCCAGTGCAGCCCAAGAAGGCCTATCCAATACATCCAGTATAGTAGTCCAGTATAGACTGCTACAGACCAGTATAGTCCGGTATAGCCAGTTACAGCCAGTATCAGTCAGTCTGTCCCAGTCCAACCCCTCTCCTCGGCTGTGAGGTTCTGTTCTGACTGAGAGTCTCATGTCTGTGTGTAGCAGAGGCAGGCTGCGCCTTGTCCCGAGGACAGTCATCAATACTTCAGGGTGTATCGTGATACATCTTTAATATGGTCCTGACGCACAGCCAGATTGACACACAGTGCTCAAGTACAAGCTCAGTACACCCCATGGAACTACAAAACTACAGGATAGACTACTGCTGTTGAACGCCTACATTACAATATAGATTGGGCCAATAATGCACTAGGCCTACCTGTTAAATGTATGTGAACACAACAAAACTATCTCTGTTAATATTATAAATAATGGAGGGGCCTCCACTAGAAGCTGTTAGTAGGCCTATTGCTCTCTTGAAAAGAGCATCTCACAGAGCGAAAGCAGCAATGTTGACAGTCACACACAACGTTGACACACAAACATGTGTGTTAGATAGGCCTACAAGTTATCCCTCTCCACAACAATCTCACTGTGACAGACACTGCAACAACCCCTTCTGTATCTACTGAATGTTCGGTAGATGGGTTTTATGAACACAATTGATTTGATAAGAGAGACTACCAGGAAGGACCAGGAAGTAAGTCAGGGGAAAGCAGCTAATGTAACCCTAAGCACCAGCTGTTGCCATGACAGCACCATATGATTTCATGAACTATTGAAGAGAGCCCAGAGTTGCAAGGCATAAATCATTAGGCTTACTGGCCGCAAGGCTGAAACGGGCTGAAATGGGGAGTCATCTAACAATGCCATAGTTAGGGCACTATAAAATCAGTTACATTTCCCAAATTCCGTTTTTTTCAGGTTTTCGCTCTCATAATCACACACACAATAAAAAACTAGTTGGATGTTCTAAGTCCACAAAAATGCTTAAACTACATCAGGAGACCAAGTTTGAGGTCTGGAATTTTTTAAATAAACTTTCATTTTTGGGTGTAGATACCCTTTAATTCACATGAGCACCAGCATGAGACTTGTTTGGTTAGCGGTGTTTCTGTAACACACATGTAGCAGAGTTCACTAAACAAATCGCCACTGGATTTATGCAAATAATCATGATACCAGGTAGGCATAGGCTACTTTGTAGTTAACATTTAATTGAGAAGGTTTTTGGGAAAGCATTTCCATCTACCGGAAGATGCTTATCCTTATTAGCATCATCGCTAACGGCTAAGCTACTCAAAGTGGTAGACAAACGCTCACACACAGACATGGGCATTCCTGTATTGCCTCTTCAGAAAGTTGAAGGAAAATATGAATCACTGATGCTTTTGTTCATGTCTTATGATAATCATGGGCATATAAATGTTTTAATAAGTTCAATACATTTAGTTGATTTCCTACTAAGTTAAATACATTTTTTTATATTGTTTAATTCTGTTTGATTGTCTGGATTCCGTGATTCCGTCCGCATCGCAGATTTTATAGGGCTCTACTTAACCGACAGTTTCAGAAATATATATTTTTCCTGATAGGTTAGCCTAGGCCTAATTCAGGGGATACACAAATCCGGTCATTGAGGACTGCAGTGCCTGCTGGGTTTCATCCATGCCTTTCAATCGCTTTCAGAGAAACTACAGTTTTACTGTAGGTGTGTGCTGTGCATTGATTGATCCATGAAGTGACAGGGAGGAACCAAAAACACCCATGTCCTTTTACAAGCGACGGAGGAACAGACTGATCAACTTCAGATGGTTACACTACAGCCTTCCAGCTCTAATATCTGACCAATCCTGTTTGTTCACACACACGTAGGATTCCTCGGAGACCTGCAGCGGTACAGACGTAACAGAGAGGGACTATTCGTGTATAGCCCAATAAATAATTGACTGTTTACGTGGTGCGGTGGTCAGCAGCACGCCACAGCTCTAGTGTTGAGTTAAACACACATTTCTATACAGAACAGTTAGGCTAGCTGTGGGAAGTACACCATTCATTCCTTCACTAACAATAAAACCATGCTTACGATCAATTATCAATAATCCTTACACATAAGCATCAACCTACAGACGAGCCACATCATCCAAACAGCAAGGCGGAGGGGACCCATTTTCCTGAGGGCAACTCCGCAGCTTCCAGGAGTGACAGGGCAATGATTAAAGGACCAGAAAGGGCAAAAGTGTGTGTGTGTGTGTGTGTGTGTGTGTGTGTGTCAGAGCGCGAGAGCCAGCGAGCAACCTTGCAGTGAGTAAACTATAATTGAATTGATATAGACAGACAGAGCGAGAAAGAGAGAGAAAGAGATAAAGGATCAAGAGAGAATGAAGAAAGAAGCTTCTGTCTAAAACAAGGAACACCAACAAGCTTGGGGAGTAGCCTAAACAATACAAAGCAGGTCCTCTTTACCAAGCAAACGGGGTGAGCTGTGCTGTGCTATGAGGATCCCTGGTGAGCCACAGTCTACAAAAGACAAATCTAAGTAATACCATTTTCATAATAAAAGCAATGCAACATGTCTTCTTACAACCACCACACCAGCAGGTATCAAAGCGGAATTCCTGGAAAGCAAAGGTAGTGGGATCACAGAATATGATGTGACATTATGACAGCACATCAAATTAATGTAGGCATCCATCACATCATGTTGTTTTGATGAAATTACTCAGACTCTTAGCTGGAATAGAGTATTGCACCTGTCAATCACAATGTGGCCTGCCCTGGATTCCAAGACAACAGCTGAGACGATGGATGTCCCAAAGAGCAGGATTATCATTCCCAATGCCATTCATCAGATAACATTGAGGAGTTTACCACATCAGTCACCGGCTTCATTAATAAGTGCATCGATGACATCGTCCCCACAGTGACCGTACGTACATATCCCAACCAGAAGCCATGGATTACAGGCAACATCCACACTTAGCTAAAGGCTAGAGCTGCCGCTTTCAAGGAGTTGGACACTAATTCAGATACTTATAAGAAATCCAGCTATGCCCTCCGACGAACCATTAAACATGCAAAGCGTCAATACAGGACCAAGATCGCATCCTACACTGGCTCTGGCGCTTGTCAGAAGTACTACACTGGCTCTGGCGCTTGACTCCCGAGTGGCGCAGCGGTCTAAGGCACTGCATCTCAGTGCTTGAGGCGTCACTACAGACCCCCTGGTTCGATTCCAGGCTGTATCACAACCGGCCGTGATTGGGAGTCCCATAGGGCGGCGCACAATTGGCCCAGCGTCG